TGGAACATCCATCCCCAGGCATGAGTACCAACAGTGGAACATCCATCCCCAGGCAGGAGCACCAACGGAGGAGCTGGAATGCAGTCCACGGTACAGCCACCCCAAACTTTCTGCCATCAAGTGGAGTTGGACTCCCAGCGACCCCAGAGGACTGAGTAGAAGTGCCTCAGTGGGTTTCGAGACTGGACATAATCTGCACAGAGGCAGAGAGCCTCCTCCTGCTCCCAAGTCCACCCACTAACCAACAAGGGATTGGAGAGCTACCCTTCACTTACTGTTATTTATCAGAACACCCTCGAACAGCAGTTAATTATGAAAATAACAGTCGGTGAAGGATAAATCTCTGATTCCTCTTTAGCGATGTGAAATCCCTGTTTAGTGCCTGCATAGGCGTGTATGTGTATTCTGACCAAGTTAAAGGTATGGAGTTTATTTAGTTTCAACAGAAAAATGAGTCTTGAACTGACAGCTCAGCCCCAGGAGACATGCTCCACCAGGTGGAGGTCCAGCAGGCGTTTCCATAAGCAAGGGAGGCCGAGGCAGAGGACCCACACCCAACCAACAAAGCACCTTCCAAAGATGCTGACATGCATAGGAGTCAGTGGACAGAGCTCACCCAAACATGCGAACTTCCGTATTCAGAAAGGATTTACTGAAGGTCTGACCGTGAGCTTCCAAACAAGCGGGCTAAAATGCGGCTGTGTGCCCAATGAGGTCGAAGGAGACTGAAATGTCACACAGGAGGAGAGAGAGCTGGCGGAAAGCGCCTGAACCTCTCCCGGTCTTTTTAAGGAGGCACTTTTCCCCAAGGTAATTCATGTATATCGCTGTCATTGAGAGCATGCGCAGCAGAAGAGACGCCAGCTCGACACCTGCCTGCAGTGGAGTGGCGTGACACTGATGACAGTTTTGGTCCTCTGGCACTGTTCCTCCCCCAGTAACCTAAGCTCACTGCCCCTAAGTGTCCTCTCTGATCTTTGGGACCACTGCTGCCCGCTCGATCCCATGGAGGTAATGCCTGACAGAGCACCACGCGTGAGGCCAACATTCTTGAGTAAATGAAGCTATTCTTGGGTTGAAAGACTTCTGGGGATATGTTTGATTTTTGAGATTTTTGAGATTTTTTTTTTTAGATCAATTTTGAGATTCAAGGTTTAAAGATTATCTCAGGGCAATATTTTGTGTGTGTGTGTGGGGGGG